TTATGCGAAGACCCACAAGTCGGATGACATGGCCTTGTGGACCACGGCTGCACGTACTCTACTAGTGTAGGAGCAGATCCAGTTCTAGCAATCTCACAAACTCTAAGAAGTGACTAGAAAAATCATTTAAAAAGCGTTAGAAACAAGTAAAGAAACTTGAGTTATTGGCCAACGCAATAAAACCAACAAATCTCTTAACTACCACTTTTACCCATTAATTATCCAAGTTACAAAAATGTGCAAAAAACCTTTTCAAATTTGGTATTTGTTGACAGTGTATAATTTTAAAACAATTAAAAATCTTCTTAAGATAGGTAATAATGGAGTGTTTTAGGGAAAATATACTCTGATGAAATCCTACACATTAAGCTGAAAAGCAGGCCCAGTTCTGTTTTCCAGATTGTATACCCTTAAGGATAATGGAACAGCACTTCCCAATAAACACAGGAACATTAGTAACCTGCTATATGATAATTTTCCCCAGCAATGTTGTGATCACAGCAGATTTGTTTTATAAACATCAGAAACATTTTATAAACAAGTCAAGCAAATAGCATTTTAAAATTAAACGTCATTACAGAGTTATTCACAGCTATCAATGTAAACATCTAATGACAAAATTTAGCCCCAGAAGCAAGGTTTAGGACACTCTGCAGAGATTAGCTGTCAAAACAGATAGAACTAGCAATCTATGAACAAATGTATTTCTTCATTTTACTGCTCAGCTGAAAAAAAAACCTGTCATACCTTTCCACAGAGAGAAGAAACCTGGTTTAAAAGCAGCACAGATGTCTCTCTGATTTTTTTTCTTGCCAAGCTCCTGGGGAAAAAAGTTTAAGGAACCATACCACTGGGCACAGGTTTACCTATGGCAATTTTATAAATAGTGCTATAATCATATTTTGAACAAAGAAACATTTTAACTTGTCTGCAATGCAAGCTAACCATGCCTCATTACTTGATTTTTATATAATACATATGTTTTCACTGTTCTAAGTGAGATGGTACACTTTAATGTAGGCATTTTATAAATAAAATATGAAAAACACATTTGTTGAAAGTTTTCAAGTGATCAGCTTTGAGCAAGTATCTTTTAACATATTATTTATTTCTTTGCTTCTTTCAAGTATATAACAAGCTGGTATAAGATGCTAGCTCTGCAACTTTAGTTTTTCCTAGGTTTCTGAGGAATGCAGATATTATTGACATTCACTATGACAGAGTATCAACACATCAGATATACTGTCATAAATTAAACATTTCCAACAACAATAGTATTCATACCAGTTTAATACTGAGTAGACTTCATGTACTGTTTTACCTTTTTGTTCTAAAATATTAAGAGGTCCATCCTTCACTTCCAACTCTCCCACCAAGACTGCTCATGCTAGTTTCAAGGTTCTCATTTACAGCCCCCACATCAGGGGGTGGGCAAAATATGGCCTGCAGGCCATTCTATCTGGCTCATAGGGCCCCTAAAAAAATTTTGAAAATCAAAATTTATCTGTCCTTGGTTCCTGTCAAAAATGACAGGACCCAGGGCCAGTAGGACCCAGGGGAATCCTCGGTGGGCTCCTGCAGCAGCAGGGCCTGCCCAGCCCTGCCCTGCCCCGGCCCCCAGCCAGAAGCCCCAGGAGGGGCTTCTGGCCTGGGACCATGTGGCTGCCCCAGCACAAGAAGCTCAGGTAAGGCACGGGCGGGGGGGGCACCAGCCACAGGGTGGGTGAGAGGCCACTCTTCCCCCACATTCAACACCAGCTTGTAACCTAGCTCCATGCTGGCTCTGGGCTTGCCCATTAGGGCTGTGCCACAGTGGCAGTCTCTGGGCCCCCGCAACCCTTACACACCCAGTGCGGGGGGG